ATAAGGGCATTGTTAGAACGAGTAAGGGAGAATGTCGTAGATCGCTTATAAGTTCTAGACCAAAAGGGTCGTGTGATGGGATTTGCTTAAGATAATGTAAGCAAAGCACTAGGAAAGATCAAAATCGAGGCCCTAAAGGCACATTCATTACATAAATATATGGGCTAAAGCCAATGCTAGAGTGCAAAAGTACACTCATGGTGAGATACATGGTGCCAGGCATGAAGATTATTTGCTAAAGGTTCTAGAACACCTCAAGATGTGGCATGGGCATGGAAGGTTCTGGAATCACCTAGAGATAAGCTAGGCAGATAGGCATGAAAAGGTCTAGAGGCGCTTAGAGACAGGCCAGGTACGCAAGCATGAAAGGTTCCATAAGGACCAAGCATGGGCACAGTGTCGAACATTGTGGCACTAAGACAAATAAGTCTCTAGAAGACCCTAGTTATGAGCAACATAACACAAAGATGGAAAAGGTTCTAGAACCTGCTAGACATAGAAACTCAACAAGAGTGCCCAGACTCTTTCAAACCTAAGGGCTAGGCAGGGAACCTGAAACTAAAATGTCTCTAAAAAGGCTTTAGTTGACTTTGTTGGGGCCTGGACACCTAGAACTATCTAAAAAGCTCTTAATGGCCATACACTTGGATCCATTATAACCACAAGTACCAATGGGGCTCAAGTATAAATAGGAAAACCTCCCCTTCATTTATACATAGATAAGCGATAACTAATAAACTATAGAGAACAAGTAAGAGTGTGAAGCATTAGGGACTTAGGCCTTGAAAGCTTTTGTAGAGAACATATAGGGATTGTGTTCCAAGAGTAAGTGTACATACCTCATTAAGTAAATATAATATTCTTGCCTTAACCATTTCTTTCATAGCTTTCTCTTAAACTCCTAGGAGGTTAGTTGAGTTCTAGCACAAATGCATAACATAGTCGGTTAGTGCAAGATACAAAGTCTGTTAAAGGCTTACTTAGGCATACGGATGATAGTTTCCTGTCTAAGGTCGTACGGTAGATAGGCTTAAGCTCCCTACCCATGACACGTGTAGGTTTTTAGGTTGTCCAGTGTTGTGACATATGGGGCCTCCCTTGGTCATCGTGGGCATTGTGTTGAAAAAAGGTTTGGCTTGCAAGGGTTGTTGAAAAGCTAGGTTTTCCAAGACTTGGACGATGATAGGGTCTTGAATGGGAAAAGTTAGTTTTTTTGGGGCTTGGGTGAAAGTGCTTATAAGTGCATCTGTGGAAGAAAAGGGCTTCAGAGTGAGAATAGGTGTTGTTCTCCTCTTTGTGCATGGTGTTTATGAATTTTTATTTATAAATTTCATAATGGACAAAATTGTACAATGTTACAAGGACTATGAAGGCGATAGCAAGAAGTTGGCTCAGTGTGTAGAGCTTGAAAATTGGTAATGGTTGCTTGTCGCTTCCTCTTATTTTGTTTTCCTTTTGTTTTTGTTTGTTTCCCCTTTTTTATGACTTAATTGTAATAATAATAATAATATAATTATTTATTTATTTATATTTTTATAAATTTTCAATTAATTTGATTAATTCTAAATAATAATAATATCAATAAAATAAAATTAAAAATAACTAATTCGAAACAAATTCGAACAAAGTCAATTCAATTTAACACTTAAATCGGCTCAAATAAAAACATACAAATTAAGCCAAAAAAATTAAACAAATTCAAATTAATCCGGACAAAATTGAGTATCTATATATATAATACTTGCTTCTCTTTTTATATTACTGTCACTAATTAATTATTCTTTTGTCCCAAATTATTCGGATCATATTAATTTTTATGAATTTTAAAAAGAAATTGACTTTAATGTATTAATTCTTTTTTATGAAATTATAGTTCTATGACTTTTAATGTTAAAAATTAAAAAATTTTAAAATATAAAAAATAAGAATTTTAAATATTCAAAGAAGAAAAAAGGATAAATTTTGAGACATCCCAAAAAAAAAGATGGATAAAAAAAATAGGATAAGGTAACTCTTAAAAATAGAGTAGCAAGATAAATTATTTAATTTTTTTCATATGTAATTATTTATTATTTTTATATAAAAAATCATAATATAAAAATAAAATATTAAAATTTAAATTTAAATTTAATTTTTACTTAATGTCACCTATTCCCAACAAATTTGTTCAGATAAAATTATTTATATCATAATTCATGTGCAATGAACTGGCAACCTCGTCAATTTGTGCCACTTATTTTATTATTTAATTATTATTAATTTATTTTCTCTTGTTATCAGTTTGAGGTTTGATTATATATATTCTTTTGAAGTAAGGTTTGATTATATTAAGTGAATGATCTCAATATATAATAAGATATAATAAGTACACAGGTCATGATTACAACACGATTATATATCCTGAAGTTAATGAAAACTAATTAAATTATATTAAAAAAACATATAAATATGAAATCAATTGTACAACAAAGCAAACCTACATAAAGTTTAGAATAATGTGGACAAATGAAAGTGGTGATCATGGTTTGATTTTTTTTTTTAACAGATTCTCCACTTCAACCAAAAGGTTTTCCTAATCATTTTATAAAAATTCCATATATAATATATAAGGAGAGGACGATCCAATTCCAAATTTTGGACAGTAGCTTCTCTTGTTCTCGTCCATATTTTTTTGGCTAGCACATTACTTGTTGTATACAATGCATCTTTGTTGTTGTTGTGTGGAGTTCAACAATGGCAAATTGGCTTATTTACTAATCTTATCTGTTTCAAAATAAGTGACTGTACATTCAAGTTTATCAGTGATTTGCCTTGGTATACAGTGACAAAAATAATTTTCAATTTAAGAGTAATCTATTTTACAATAAATAAATGAGGACTTCTGCATACACTTCTTATAAACATTTCTTAAAAATAAAAGGTATTTTGAAATTTTAAGCGATGATGTAACCTTTTTTACATTAAAAAAAATACTGTGTTTTTGCGAATTGTATATAACATTTCTCTAACAAATAAAAGCTTGTATAGAGTCCGTTTTGCAGTCCAAATTCTTTACGATGTATACAGCCTTCAAAGCGTCCCAATTTTTTTAATTATTTTTTTAATTTTACATAACTCCAAAACCCATTTTTCATTTGCCCCTCCAATAAAAAAAGAAACAGATACCCTTTTGTTTCTTGTGCTGGATGATTAAGTTAAGGGCGAAGTGAAGAAAAAGTTTGTTCAAGTAGCAAGTGGACTTGGGAGTGGAGTCACACTCACATATGTAGTAGGAAAAGATAATAATAATAAAATCTTCAAATATTGACGAGCACCTTATCTACACAACCAAAACAAGACAAATTAATGGGAAACATTTGGCAATTTAACACGGGAATCAATTGAAGATGATAAACATGAGTGCATGCTTTGCCTGCCATCGATATATTCATGAGGTTGAGAGATCGAACCTAGCATATCCATTAAAGAAAAATGTCTTTCGTATGCTTTTCATTTCATTGTTGCTAATTCTGAAGAAGACAACAAATTTTCACTTTAAGAAACCAATAGTATTTCTTTTACTTCAACGAGTTTATGAAGATTTTTCCATTACTGCTTCCAAATGCTCACGTCCTTTCATTTGAGTATACCATCTTTCCTAGGAGTACTTTATTCACTTCTCCCGAAACTAACACTATTTTCAATTTAACTTGAAGGTTCATTTAGATTCCATTGCATTTCCGATGTGATGGAATTTATTTATTTTTTTCTCAATTGTATTAGGGGCATTTGAATAGCATTCCAACAATATATAGTCGATTATGGGAATTTAACTTAAGGGTTTTTATTTCTCCCTTCCTTTCAATCTAAATATAGCATAAATTTTGTTGTGATAGTGCTTTTGTTACTTTTTTTTTTTTTTTTGGTTTTCGTGCTTTTTAAAGAATTTTTAATATATGTAAAGCAAAAGTAAAAGAAAAAAAATATTTTGCTAAGGAGTGCTTCAAGATCGCGTTTAGATGAAAATTTTTTAAATTTTGAAAAGATCATTTATAATTGTCCTCAAATGCCAAAAAGAAAAAAAAAGGTGAATTACTTGGTGCAAATTTTTAAAATGGAGAAAAATAAGTAGAAGTAGATTTCAAAATACATAGACTCTAAAGAAAAATAAACGACATTCATAATCTTATTTTTTATTTCATGATTCGTCTTTTTTCATTGATTCCTAACTGAGTTGCGAGTTGCTGTCGACTCTGGAGTTTTATTATTCATTGAGTTAGATTTTTTCCCTATCATGGCTTTATGCTAAAACTGATTAATTTGCAGCAACTGTGCAAGGGTTCAGAGTTCTAACCATTTGAACTTTGCAACACCATCAGAAAAGCCCAATCAATAATGAACAACCCCTTCAACCCAACCCAAGTTTAAGATTGTGGGCTATGACTTGAACCCAACCCAATCCTGCCTTTCAAATTTCAACCCAACATAAACTTTATTCTTAACAAAAAAACACAAAGGCATGATGGGCTCTCATTTCCCAGTTACTACCATTACCTTATTTCTATTCATCCAATGTTCCAGGGAGGCCTAAAAAAACCAAATCTTTTTTGTAGATATTAAAGTGAGTGGTGGAAACGAATTCGAAATTTAATTTAATTAATTAATATAATTATTTTTATAAAAAATAATATTTAATATATTTAAATTTTAAATTTTAATACTTATAATTTCTTTTTTTATACTAAAAAAATGTGAGTGATGGAAGCTAGTTTAAAAACAAAATCTCAAGTCGATAATGAATCTTTGTCCAAGGATGGAACTGATGAATGTTGACCGAATTTGAATGAATGAACAAATACAAAGTTGGAGGGCAGGTTGCAGTCTTGAGGAGTTGAGCAGTACATCAGAATATGTATGTATTTTCCAAAAAGAAGTTACTTTTAGAAAATAATTTTTTTTTATTATAAAAAAAATTCTATTTATCTTTTCAGATAAAAGAGCAAAATTTTCTTTAACACTGATCAATGGGTAAGGCTCCCATTTTTTTTTTTTGTTTCATTATTTTTCAATATATTCATTGGCATCGTTCAAAAGTATGATTTTCCCACTTCATAAACGAATCCTACACATGTGAACGTTATTGATGAGTGTGTTGAAAAATAATGATAAAAAAAGTAACGAAGAGAAACCCAATCCCGAATGAATAGAAGAAGGCATTAAATGAATTTCAACGGGGGGTAAAGCTTTTCTTAAAAGTGTGGCGGTTACATAACAATATCAAAAACCGTTTTGCAGATCCCCATTGCAGATCCAGCTCCAGAATCATGGACCACGAGCAGGGGCAAAACAGAAGCAGCTTGGCGAATGGTCATCCGGTATCATCCCTCCTCCCTTGCTTGTATCAACTGCTTCTAACATTCTCACTACCTCATCCATTTCGGGACGTTTCTCTGGATTTGCGTCCCAGCATTTTCGCATTATGTTTGCTAAGGAACTTGGACAGCATCGCGGGATCTCTGGTCGTAAATTCTGCCAATAAACCATGTATTGTTTAACTCCCACAATCGATCCAATCCTTTAACGGTGATATATGTGAACAAATATAGTAACAAACATGAATAATGACTTCACAATTTTTTGCCATAATTACCACTGGTGAGAACAAGACAATCGCATACTACATCGGAAAGTCGGATCTATACAATTGGAGAAGATAAAAAATTTCAACAAAGACCCCAAAATTATATTCTCAGAATTATACGATGCATCTAAAAAACTATAAAGCAAGGCTTGCAACATGATAATCTAAATGAGAGCTTTTGAATTTTAAAAAAATGTACAATTTGAATATTAAACAAAAACTTTCATTAATCATGTAAAACCAAGTCAGATACAAATGATATTAATAAAGAGAAGCATACAAAGACTCCCACATCAAAAAAAAAAAAAAAAATCCTATGAATGACCCTAAGCTTGCAAAGACTCACAAATCAAAAGAAAAGTAATCATTCTTCGATGCCATTTCAAAACCACCAATTAAACACAATGATAAGACATGCTTCAGGATCTCCTCTTGTCGTAATCTTTTAAACAGAAACTTCAACAGTAAAAATAGGAATGTTTTACTGGTAAAAATAAAAAAACGTGCACACTAACCTGTCGAACAACAGCAGATGACACATCAGCAAAGCTAAGATCTGGATAAGGCATATCACAGCAATAAATTTCCCACAAGCAAATGCCAAAACTGTAGACATCACATCTTCTATTGTAGGGTTTACCATCAAGAACCTACATAATGATTGCAATAGCTTTATGGATTAGCATAGGAAAAAGAAAAAAGAACAGTGGGTGTCTCAAGAAGTTCACATTTCCTCTCTTCCCGTGCATGTGATTTTTTATACATGGCACTCAAATATAAAAGAGATGGGGAGGATTAATTCTTCATAACAAAGTATTCAAATCAAAGTGGGTCTTCATTTCCATTAGATATTCATCTATAAGGAAACTAAGGCTCCATTTGATTGATATTTTTGCCATATGCCTTTTGCTTCTTTTAATAGAAAGCAAAAAGTACAAAACAAAAAATGAAATAAAAACCAGAGACAAATAGCGAAAAGCAAAAATATCAATCAAAAGGAGCCCAAGTGATAGCAACACACATTCATTAAGAGAGACCTCGACAAATGCAAAACAGATACAACCAACCCTAGTGTGGAGAATATATTTACCACCATATAATATTTGAATGCATTAATCATCTAAAATTTCCATTTTAATTAATCTGTTAGAACTTAAATATAATAATTGCACCTCTCCACTTACTACCAATTGGTTTTAAGTAGGATGTTTTCATTTTGGACAAAATAAAAACATCAATTATGTGGATGGGAAGATGCCTGATGACATAAATTATCAAAACATTTACAGCATACCTCTGGGGCCATGTATCCAAGAGTACCAGTTTCACCAGTCATGTCCCTTGGATTCTGAGCTTCAACACGAGCAACACCAAAATCAGCAATTTTGAGATTTCTCTGAGCATCTAGTAACATATTTTCAGTTTTAACATCACGATGTACAATCTTTCTCGAGTGTAGGTAGCTGAGACTGCAATTTGAAAGAAGTATAATCATCATTACAGAAATTTTATTTCCAAACCAAGGATAAAAGGCATCCACTTACCCTTTAGAAAGGTCCAAAGCAAGTTGAATCACAACCTTAAAGGCGAGGTTTTTTCGCCTATTTCTTATCAAGTATTGTTTCAGAGTGCCACCAGGGAGATACTCCACCACAACACAGCATGCTCTAGAAGGAAGGGAATTATGACTATCAGCTGAAGGATTTTTTGAAGGAATCTTAAGGTTTGAAGTTCCCATCGAGGCTCCAATAAACTGAAACTCAAATTAAAAAAATGAGAAGTTTAACTTTTAGCGAGTCAAGAACTACAAGATCAAAAAACAGTGAGCTAATCATGCAAGGAGATAGAGTGAACTTCTTGCCAATTGTTTGAAATGAATAACAATGCATTTAGGCTTTTGCTGTCATGTTAATATCAACAAGCAAACATACAAAGTGGAAGAAAAATTGGACCTTTGTAACATTAGGATGGTCAAGCTTGTGCCAAACAGCAACCTCTTGCCGAAATGATGCTCGCAGAGCAGCAGTTTCAGCAGTTGTGGCAATACCATCCTCACCCCAGTCCAACAGCTTAACTACAATATTCAACATGACGGTGCAGTGAGACTTTGTAATAAAAAAGGTACTGAAGGCTATTAATTCTCAAAGTAATCAATGTTAAAAGAGAGTTGACTAAGATAAGTTTCCTATTCACACAAGCAATGTCCCATTTCCCCCTATATGAATCCAAGAGTAAAACCCCCTACTATATCAATTCACCAGCAGCTAAACTTCATTGCAAGTTCGTTACAATATTCAAAAGCTCAAGGTACTCCCAATCATTTTATCTACTATACGGTTTTAAATTCTGCAAAGGCCTAAAATCCTCATGGTATTTTAGAAATTAACCAAGCATTCTTATTGTCACATGCCTAGTGAATGAGAAAGTATTGGTTTCTATGCATCCTGTATCATCAACCAATTATGTACTTATCACTAAATCATGAACAACAAAGAGCAGACCACAAAAGATTCAAACAGTTAAATCAATTAAAAACTCATCATAACCATCTTCCATTTTGATTAGCACACAGTTATTCTGATATAGTTGAATCCGTTAATGCTCAACTACAAAAAAGACAGAGGTGGTCAAACCTACCTAGGAGCTTCCATGTGTGGTTGTAGACATTCAAATGAGAAAAATAGCATCCAAATTAGATTTGCATTCTCTCAACTATAAGTGAAAACAAATTATATTTAATTGTTAGTCAGCGGTTTAGGTGGTGGGGCAATCAAAAAGTAAAACAAAAATCAGATTAAAAGGATGAAAACTTCAAAAATTTTCCAAAAATCAACCAATGATCAACTACATAGAACAGAGTAGAGTAGGAACACCAATATCAAGCAGAAATAGCCAAGAACACTATCCATTACACGATAAAGTCAATTCAATTAAGTGCTCTAATTTCAGGGTAGTTCCAATTGAGCACTTTTGAACCAACGCACTACCAAAAGCAGACTGGCATCAAACAGTTATAACTTATAACTTATATGAATCATGAAGACATGAAGTACCAAAAATATTGTACATCACGCCTTAGTTAGGCCTCAATCTGGCTTTGCACGCATTACACCACCAAACTTTACAACTAATATTTACCATCTAGATATCATTGACATAAATAGAGTTCTGTCTTTTGAACTAATGCATAATGCTACTACTTTAGAAGAGACTACAAGGGTTTTAGAAATCCATATTTGAACTCGACAAACCATCAATACAAAGTCCAATTACAGATATTAACATATTTTTATGTACTAGAAATACCAAGGAATTATTGCTGCTAAAACAGAATTTTCAAGCTGCATCAAATAATTTGGCCATTTTAATCAACATGAAAGTACAAAGCATAAGAACCAACAGAAATACAAGAAGGATATGGATTCCAAATTTTCTTTTCTTCTGTTTCCATCCTTTACAAAAGATCAAATTAAAACAGTAACAAATAACAAGAATTAGGGAAAGGGAAATTGATGACAAGTACCTGCAACATCTTGATTATCATAAGTGGCACGATACACTGTCCCATAGGTTCCATGAGCTATAACATGCCTTAAATCCAACTTAGACAAATCAATCTCCCACTCCTCTACAGGCTTTTGGTTCTCAATGCTTTTCGACCAAACCCGTGTCAGGTGCTTCTCCAGCTGCATATCTAAGCTTTTTAGATCGATTTTATCAGCTCTAAAGATCATATCTTTGCTACTAATGCCTCCAGTGCCCTTCATCTTTGAATTTCCACCTCCTTCTTGTTCGTCTGATTTCTTTGGTGTCTTCACACCACCACCTTCCTCTCCGCTTTTCAAATCCATACTCATAGAACAACAAAATCACCAAGTAAAATTTTTTTTTAAAAATCCCAGCTATGAAACCCAGTTTCACCAACCCCAATTCCTATTAGACTCTATCCAATGTTGAACTTATAACCCAAAATTCATGATTTTGTATTAAATAAAAAAAAAAGTAATTATCTTTTTGTTTAGACCCGAAATAAATGCAACTTTGTAGCAGAAAAAGAAAAAAAAAACCAAAATTTCCACTGTCACCAACTATTGAAATAATTACAAACAGGAAAGAACAAAAACAAGAAAAACGAAAAAGTAAGCCCCCTAAGAAAACGACCCAATTCCCACCATTAGCTGACCGAGACCGATGGCCCAGAAGTTTTTTCAAAATAAAAAATAATTTTTTAAACAAAAAAAAAAAAGGAGTGCACTTTGTAACTAAAACTCGAAAACAAAGAAAACCCAAGAAAAAGAAACAGGCATGCAAAGTTGAGTATATAAAATACAATAACAAAATAATCAAAACCACAGAAAAATAAATTAAAATAAGGTATTTAAAGATATATATAGAGATAGAGGAAAAAGTTGACTATGAGAGGACGAGGAGGAGGAGGGAACAAAAAGGTCGGTGGTGGTGCCGTTGAATTGAAATTTTTTTTGTTTAAAGAAGCAAAGATGGAAAAAGGTCATTGAAGAGCTAAAGGAAACGAGAGAAATAGGAAAATTTTTTTATTTTTGCGGCTAAAAAAAGGAAAGGGTTGTCTATGGAGGAGATTAATAAGAGGAAACCAATCCAAAGGAAAAACGAAGAGATTAATTGGAGTTGAAGAAGGAGATATTTTTTTTTATTTAGAAGAGAAGAAGTCAAAAAAGAGCGGGGGTTGTTTCCTTTTGTTTTTCTCTTTAAATAAAAAGGCTTCAAATTAGGGAATGCATTCCCCAAAAAAAAACATAGAACAGCTAAAGAACAAAAGCCAGTGCTCTGTTACATTGTTCGTTCTGTTTTATTCCTCAAACATATAAATCAGTTTCCCTTAAAAAAATTTTCACTTATGAATTTGTTTTTATCATTTTTAATTTATTTATATGCATGTAATTCTGTTTAAAGAATTTGAATATTTTATGTAAAAATAAAAAATAGATTTATTTATATAAATGGTTATCTTTTCATAAATAAAAATATTTATATTTGATGTTAAATTCATGCACTAATCATAAAAAATTAATTTTAAAAATTTTAATTTTTAAAAGTAAATATGTTTAATCCTAAAAATATATTTAAAATATATTTTTTTTATGATGTATAATTTCATAATTCAATAACAATGTATAATATAATATTTATATACAATACATCAAATATAAAAAATCCATCTTAATATTTAAAATTCTGGGATTTTCAATACAAATTCAAATTTGAAGAGAAAAAAAAATAGAATTTCATAAAATAAAAAGGAGTTATTATTCAAACCCCAATATTTATATATACCCAAATAAATTTTGAAAAATGAAGAAAATCAATTTCTTCAATGTTTATATATTAAAAAATTATTTGATATACTTGTAATGGAATTTTTAAACTCCACCATGGGCATATAAATTATTAAAATATATTTAATAAAATATAATTTTATATCTTATTTTCAAATATATATAAATATAACAACAATATTATATACTCGGTCAATGATAATTGCATTTAATAACAAAAAAGAGAATTTTTTTTAATAGTCATGAAAAAAAAATAGTTAAATGTTTCAAATAAATATTAAGTTAATAATAGCTATTTATATATAAACTATTTCAAGAATATGTGACTAAATTTCACAATTTGACTTGTGAAAAGTAAGATGGTAATTTGCTGCCTTAATTTTTTCACACATATAATACTTTCTTTGTCACGAAATTATTGTTTTTTATTTTTTTTTGTCAAATTAACTCAATTTTTGTCATTTTTAATAAAATAATAGAATTAAAAAATTTTAAGAATAAGATTTGTAAACTTTGAGTTTAAAAAATTTTAAATCATATTTTTTAAAAATTTTAATTTAATATTATATTTCGAAAAGGTCAAAATGGGATTATTTTGACAAAAAAAAAATCAATAGGGGACTATTATTTTGGGACGGAGGGAATATAATTTGTTATGACTCAAATTCTAATATTTGTAATTTCTTTTTTTAATTTTATATTGTCACATGTTATTAAGTTACCAATTGAATTTAGCAAAATCTCCAAGCATTATCGAACAGGAGCATATAACTTATAATTTCTTTTACCATAATGCAACGATCTTCTGATCACAATAAATAATTATGTATGAATTTGTAACTTATAAGAGTAAAATTCATATAAAATTTTGATGGACTTCACACAATTTTAAATTATGATTGATTAATTATATTATAATTATTATAAGTGAAATATTTCTTGAATGAATTAAGGCTTAAGTATTAAAAAAAGCACTTTAACAAAAATTATATAATTATCCCAATTATTATTATTTCATTGTAATCAACTAAACCTTTAAATATTTATTTTTATCTAATTAAACTTTTAAATATCTATTTTCATCATTCTGAATTTTTAAATATTTATTTTTATCTAAGTAAGTCTTTAATTGGACAAAATGGTGTTGAAGATTAAAAAGTTTTCATCTAATAAAAATTCAATTGATAAAAATAAATATTTAAAAATTTAATTGATTGTAATAAAATAATATAAATTTAAATAATTATTTAATTTTAATTCAAGAGTTTTTTTATACATAATGCCTTGAATTAAATAAGAAAAAGACATGAAGTATCCAATGGCATTATAGAAATTGATGACACTGACAAATATTGAAATAACGTTTTCTTTATAAGGAATCAAAATCTGCCTTTCGGTGGTGCCAGCGAGGATAACCTTATTTTTTTAGGACAAATTTGCTCCATTTTTGTCTTGTATTGATCAAGCATTTGTGTAATTGTATATCAAATTTCTTTAAATTGTTTTGATTTTATGACCATAGACACAATTTTGGTCTTGAAACATTACAAAAATGACAACATAAATATTCACTACTCAAACACCATTAAACGACAACATGTTGATTTATTCTTCGATGGCACTTTGTATATCAAAGTGAACATGAAATTTTATCTCAATATCGTATAAGACATATCATATTATTATTTCTTCTAATAAAAGAAAGAAACACTTCGACATAATAAATTATAATATATATATATATGTATAGGATAATGTTACATGCATTAACATGCTACACTTAAATAATATATTCACTTTTTTTACATTTTATTTTAGAGATTTAAGGCTACATTTGGTGTATAAGATTATGAAAGAAACACTTCAATACTTGTTGACATAATAAATTATAATATATATATATATATGTATAGGATAATGTTACATGCATTAACACAATACACTTAAATAATTTATTCAATTTTTTTACATTTTATTTTAGAGATTTAAAGCTACGTTTGGTGTATAAGATTAAGATATGATAAATAATATAATATTATAAATAAGATTAGATTAAATTATATCATCTTGTGTTATGTTTAATGTGTGTAATGATTAAAAATAAGATAAAATATTATTTTATCATTTATCATGTTTGTTATATACAATATTAATATTAGAATGGGATAATATTTTTTATTGGTCAAAATTACCTTTTATATTCTAATTTGATTTTAAAGTTATAGCTTTCCAATTGATGATGCGCTTTCCTTTGCATTTGGAAGACTTGAACACATGGAACATTTTAGAAACCAACACCTAATTCTCCTCAAGGTCAAATTTAAAATTTACTTTCTTATTTGGTTCTCGAGAAAATAAAAGTAAAAAAATCATAAATTTGTATCTTCAATCGTATTCATTCACAAGCAGAGAAAGTGATTCAAGCAAATGAATCTAAGCTTTTAGAATCAAAGCTAGCTCATAATCCCTCCATGGAATTAAGAGATAAGGTTTTTTTTATTATCGAGAAATCTTTAAAAAAATTGAAAAAAACTCCAGTTGATAGTGAGAAATCTGAAAAAAAAAAAATAATGGAGAGAGATGAAAAGACGCTCTAGGGCTAAAAAGTTTAAGAAACAGAGAGCTTTTTTTCATGGAGAACAAAGGGGTTTTCTCCATCAATGAATAGCAAAGAAAATTTAGAGAATGAAAAATATTTTTAAATATTTGATAATTTAAAATTTAGGTTTTTAAATTTAAAGGTAAAATAGAAAATTTATTATTTAAAAATTCTGATAAATTATCTAATCCTATGAATTGAAAACAATTTACTACTTTTCTAAATGATAGAGTTATCCTATTGACATAGGATATCTAATCCTTTCAATAATCCAATCCTTTTATTTAAGTGCATAATAAACATATAATAAAATGATTAGTGTCATAACGTATAGATTTATGAACCTACCGCTAGACATGGATTAAGGGAGTCACAACAAATATTTTTTATTTAGGTGTGATTGGTCATCTGATCAAATCTATCATATTCAAAGAGGAGTCCCAATATTTACTTAGGTATTTTTAAACAGTAGACTCTGATCCACGAAATCAAATTTTAGTTTTAAGAGTACAGTTACGTGTGACAAAGGTTATAGCACCTACAGTACCCATCTAAATGATGGTACCAGTTTGATTTCAAATTATGCTAGCCTTTAAATATGTTTATAATTTACCAAAATATTTAATATTAAAAATTAATCCTAAAATTACTCTAATAATTTGATAGTAATTTAAGATATTTCTCTCACATCAGGAGCATTCATGGATACTAGTGTCCCATCCTGAAAAGGTTCTGTCATTAGATTTATTAATATATTAGTTAAAAACATAATCAGTAAAATCTTTCAATAGTTTGATAAGATTTACTTTGATGTAGATCTCCCAATAGTTTGGTGAGATTTTATTTGAAAGATATTTATAAAATTTTTATTTTGAAAAAATGTATTAAATCTTCCAATAGTTTGGCAAGATTTAATTTAAAATGCAATCCTCCAATAGTTTGGTATGATGAAAATATGATATTTTATCAAAAAGTAATTTATGAAATTCACCAATAGTTTGATAGAATCCATAAAAATTTAAATTTATAAAAAATCTTTCAATAGTTTGGTAGGATTCATGAATTGATTTAAGAAACATTTTATTCTTATTTTTTTCATAAATAAGTAAAGGGAAACTCACAAAGAAAAAAAATCACAATAATAAGTAATATAGTTTTTTCAATTTAAAATAAGAAATAATAAGAGTAAATAAAAAATAAATAAGAAAAATAAAATCAAAATAGACAATGAAGTGAAAATGGAAAGAGAATATCAGCGATCGAGTCGAGTTGTGTATGGTAAATATGCAGATCTAGGTGCCTCAAATTTCAAGTTTTTCTTCAAAAGTGTTTGAG